TTGAAAAATTTAAGGAAAAACCCTGTGTTTGATGAAGTGGAAATATGTGAATGAAAATTTTGGCAAGGAAAATATTGAATAATATTTATAAGAATTAATTTTTTATTTTACTTTTTGTCATAAAAGTGATGTAGAGAAAAATTGTCGGTCCATCTCATGAATAATTTCAAGCAAAATAGAGAAAGCAAGAAAAGGACAGAAAAAGAAGACGCTTGAAGGAAAAGGTGAAAATTGCTTGAATGGTAAAGAGATAATATTTTTATTTTATTATTTGAGTTCTAATTTATTAGGAGGCTATGAAAAAATAATTTTTTATAAATTTATTAAGTTCAATGTAAATAAACCTGATTGAATCAATTCGAAAAAAGAATGAACTAAATAAAATTCATAAACCTTTTGTTGCTAAATTAAGAGAGAGAGAGAGAGAGAGAGAGAGAGAGAGAGATGAAAAAGAAAAAATAAAGAAAAAGAGAAAGGTTATTGCTTAACCCAAAATGGTGAAGGCCCAATGGCCGAAATAAAACACCAGCTTTAGAATGATTCTTTTTTATTCTTTAAACAATTATGAGTTTTAATGTTTTTTACCAGTTAAATTATTTTTATAAAATATAAAATTTATAAAAATGATTGCAGAAAATAGAGTTATTTTTTGTTTTTATTTTTTTGAAAAATAAAAAATATGAGTAAAAATTATTTGATAATTGAAAATGAAAATAAAAAATATATATTTTCAATTGTAAAAACAAGAGATGTGCATTTTTTTTTTTTAAATTTTTGTAAGCTATCATATTTGAATACTTTTTAATATTATTAATTAATTTATATATTATATTGATAATTAGATACCATTAATAATAATATCATTGAATATTTTTTTTATTTATTTATTTTTATATTTTTACAAAATAATTTTTATTTTTATTTATCAAATACATTTTTAAAAAATAAAAAAAAAATATTTTCTTATATGAAACGGAACCAATTTTTTCATAAATTTTGTTGAATCCAACGTAGAAATCCAAACTCCGACAATGCTCCAATTCTCGATCTTTCTTCTCAAACTAAATATATGGAACAGCTCAGTGGGTGATTGGGAATTAGATGATGACAATAACGAGCATGGGACATTATTAATGATGAGCCCACTAGCTCACATTTACTATGGTCCTTTTCTTGACCAATCTTGCGTCGAATATGGATTTCAAAACATTTAAGAAGGGGAGACGAGTTTTGATGGAAGATAAGACCAGACTTATTTTATGTTATGAGTTAATATTTGATGTAACGATAGAGTATAAATTTTATATATTGTCAAATGTTATATTGATAATTAAGAATCAAAATTAAAAATAATAAAATTTTTAAAAATAAATATTAATAAATTTATTTAAATTTAATTAATTATTTAAAATTTTTTATTTTTAAAGATCTACTCTTTTTAGATTTATTTATTAATGAAGTATAATTATAGGATTGGATGACACATATATGTTAAATATATATTATCAAAATCAAATATTAACTCTTATATTATTATTATTATTATTATTATTATTAAAGGTAAAGCTGACACAATAAGTATTTTGATATGAAGATTTTGCTTGGAGAAAAAGAAAAAACATGTATCACACATGCAAAATCTAAGAAAATATCACACAAATATTTTTATCATAGTAGGTATTCAAGAAATATATGAAATTTTAATGAATTAAAAAATTTGTATGGGAAAGTAATTTGCATCCAACATTTTTTTTATATTATAAGCATTTTTATTATTTTTAATGATAAAAATCATCATTGAAATAAAATTCTAAGTTTTGGGTATCTATATACGGGGAATTTTTTTTTCCTCGTAATGGATTTAGAAAAATCCTCCATAAATAACAAACGCGTGAAAGTTAATTCCCATTTATTTTAAATGCTAACAAGGTAGGTCCATATCATCTACCTTTTTGACCATAAAAAAATAGGCATGTCTAGTATTTATTACTTTCTATGCATTTTTGAGTAGTCCAACTATCCTGTTGTAAAACAAAATAACATTACTCATACTTTAGATACATACTCATTCCGTCTTATTTTTTTTGTTTATTTTTTACTTTTAGAATGTCTCAAAAAAAATTTTTTTAACATCTAAAATTCTTACTTTTTATATTTTAAAATTATATTTTAAAATTTTTTTATTTTTTGATATTGAAAATCATGAAACTTTAATTTTATAAAAAAAATTAAATTTAATATTAAATTCATTAAAATCAAGAATTTTTTCTTAAATTTTATGAAAATGAACAACACCCAAATAATTTGAGACGGAATAAGTATATATTACACTCCCACGGGAGCTCACCTAGGGTTGGCAACGAATCGGGTCAGTGCGAGTTTTTGCTCAACCCGAACCTGACTCGACTCCCTATTCGTCAAATCTGACCTTGACCCGACTCGATTTTTTAATTTTTTTCATATTCGAATCCGACTCGAAATTAATAAAATATTATTTTAAAAATATAAAATATTATTTTTTAAAATATAAATATTTAAATATATAATTATATAAATATATATAATTAAAAAATTTAATTAAAAAAATTATTTTTATATAATATCGAATCATGTTAGGTCGAGTTTGTCTAAAACACGAACCCAACCTGATCCCGACCCAACTTGAAATCCAAATTTCAAAAAAAATATATTTGATTTTATGAACTCGAGTCGAGTCAGAACCTGTTGAGAGCAGATTGAGTTACCCACCCTAAGCTCACCACAATGCTATTTTTTTTTAGTTTAATTGAAAAAAGGATGATGATCCGAATTCTGCTCTTTTAAGTGAAAGAAAATCATTAATCCAAATATTTATATGTTCAAAAAAAATTGAAATTACTCAATCATTTATTTATTTATTTAACTAGGCATGATAAGCTCCAAAAATTTTTAAATAAAAAATCGTGGTATGAGAAAAGAAGAAAAAGTTATAAATATTGAGAATCAAACTTAAAATTTATTAAATATTATTTTTTAATGATGACATCATGAATAGAAGTAAGCTCTAAATTTTTTTTTAAGGGAAAGCTCCTGCATCCTTAAAACTTAAGTTTGATGAAAATAATTAATGAGCTTAAGTAATTAAGAAATATTCATACCGTAATATCAGTATAGCTCATTTATGCTGTCAAGGCTGTTGGAAAGTTTGTATTCAATCTTCCATTAATAGAAATTTTTTTTTTTTTTTACCTTTCAAATATATATATATATATAGCTCATTTACAATATTACACCCTTAATCAAATCGACAAACATATTTCTTAAGGCAAAAATACAATATGAAAAGAAGGAGAAAAGGGAAAAAACAAGAGACGATGTACACATAAAAATTTCAAGGAAAAAAAATAACTATTAAGATCTATCATGTCTAATGAATTTTTATTAAAAAAAAAAAAAGAAATAGTTTCTTTTTGCTATTAATCGTCCTTTTATCCACTCATTTTAAGTGGACAAAACATTTTTTGGACAAAAAATAAAGTAAACAAAGCTGACATTGATGAAGAAGATTGTGAAGTTGACTGACAGAGTTTGTGGACAATTTTTTTTTTAAGGATGAACTGAAACTTAAGCATTCATTTAGAGATCACAATAAATAAACTAATTCAAATTTAAATTGTTGTGGTACTTAAATTTTTATGAACTTACTATATTATAGATAGGGTTGGCAATGGGTCTAATCAAGATAAATTTTTACTCACCTTAAACTCGATTCGATTTTATATCCATAATACTCAAATTCGATCCGATTCAATGATTTTTTAAAATTTTTTTATACCCAAACTTTATTCGATTCGAAATTAATAAAATATTTTTTAATATAAAAAATATTTTTAATGTAAATATAGAATTAAATATATATAAATATAAAATTAAATAAATAATTAAAATTTAATTTTTTATATATAAACCGGGTTGAGTCTTGATGAATTTGTGTAAAATCCAACATCGAATTTTTTTACTATTACTTAACCCGATTTGATCCAAAATTCGATTTAAAAAAAAATTTTTAAAAATAGATCAGATCGGAATCTATTAAAAATGGATTGGATTGCCATCCTTAATTATATAAATTTCTAATATGCTTTCAAGGATTATACTAACAGAAAATTTGAATTCGAATACCATGAGTTCGAATCCTCTCTTTCCTCTCTATATATTTCAAAACAAAAATTATTTAGCTATAAGAAGTTGTTAGTAAGTTTGTTTCTTGTCATTTGGAGTTTTCTTTAATTTCCTTTTCTCATGAGAGTCCAATTACTATTAGTCAGGTAACAATTAATTAATGGTGGGTTCTTGATTTTTTTTAAGGAATTCATTTATAATATATAAAAAGTTGTGGAAGAATTTATTAATTTTAGCGATAAAAAAAGTGTTTAGAGAACATTTTTGAAGGTATTCAAAAAAAAACTTTCCTTTGAATTTTTTTAATTTTTTGAGATGCTCATTTTTGAGATCCTCATGGATATATATATATATATATATATATATATATATATGAATCTGTCTCTGCAATCAACTCAACTATTATTCTTAGGTTATGTTCAATTCCCACCCGCTCCTTGCGCTCTCCCAGAAATTCTTTCCCTGACCTGAGCAAAGGGGCTGAAAAAGAAACAAAGATATTCAAACTGGTGTTGAAGGATACTTCACCATTCCTATTTTTTATTCATTTCTGCTAGTGCGTGAAAAGCAGACTGTGAAGGCGAGGCTACAGTGAATTAATGCTTCCCACATGGTCATTTAATGCCATTAGCTTTCTTTAATGGCCAACCCACCCTCACTCCGTATATGCTTCATAATTTCATAACTTTCTTCCAAAGCATCTTGATGTGAACAGCCATGGAAGTTAGGAGAAGAGTGTGGGAAATATTTTTTAAAGAAAAATTCCGAAAATATATAATACAGAAATAAGAGAAAAAATTTTTAAAAATGATTAAACTTGCAATGAGATAAAGGTTTTTTTTTTATTATTATTACAATGCATTAATAGGTATTTCATTGAAATACTTAATATAAAAGTTACATAAACATCATAAGTACTTCTTATAGATACTAAATTTTTCTTTTTGTTTTTCACAATAGCATGCATTAATTGGATTATGACGAGTTGAACAAATTGTTCAATAATGAAAATTTGATAGCCCAAACACAACAACCATGTCTGCAGTGGAGGCAAACACTAGAAGGAATTGCATCTCTCTACAAAAACACCAAAAAGCAAAAGATGAAAAAAAGAAGGAAAATCAACTAATTAATAACATTTCAAAGTAATAGAAATTAATTAATTAATCTCTCTAGGCAGTAGTACCTTGATGGCCTGAGCCATGGCTAACAATTGATAGCAATGTCTTCTTCATGTTTATCATTGACTGACATCCTCTAAACTCATTCAGATTCCTTCGTTTAACTCCAAAACACAGTGTCGAAGTCGGTGATCCCAGGCCTTCCTCATCATCATCAACCATGTAGTTATGAACAGGTGATCTTGAACATGAAAAATAGCTCCTTCGGCTCTGAAATAACTTTCGATTCAAGGAAGAATTAGCTGATAGGGAAGAACAAGAACCATACAATGATGACCGTGACGATAAAGACGATGAAGATGATGTAAAAGACCATGACGAAGATGGAGAAGCATGGTTTTTCCTGGGAGTAATTAGCCTGGGAAAGATGGAGCTCCAAAGGGTTGGTTTCATGCTCTTTTTCTTCTTGGATTTTGACTTGAATGAGGAATGATATGAAGGAGGGGGAGTTAGAGGAGGGAGAGTAGTGTCACAAGAAGGATGTTTGGGTGTTCCAGGCTGTGACTCCCACATGAATGGAACAGCACTCGAAGCTCCTCCATAATAGACCCTGCAAGAAGAATTAGCCATGGAAGTTTCCTTCGACATCAGCCTGGAGAAGAACTTGTCATCTTGCTTGATTTGGAGACCTTTCTGAGGCTGCAGCTCAAGGTTACTACTGTCACTCAACATTTTGGAAACTGATTGTGGGTGTTAATTGTTTTTTCGGAAGAGTGTCAGCCACACTAAGTAGATCTCTAATTTTTAAAGGGGGCTTAAGATCCGAAGTTGAAGCCTGACAAAGATCAGAATAGAGTATTTCAAGGCCAAATGACTTGTTTAAGTCTAGTCTAGTGGGCATATAATTAAGGCTCATGCATATATATATATATATATATATATATATATTGATATCTTTCATTTATTTTTAAAACTCTTGCTTCATTAAGATTTGTATCAAAATAGAGAATACCAAAGTAAATTAATTATTTTTTAATGTATCATGTTGATGTGTGGAAGTGCATTTTTAAGATCATTTGAAGAATGAATTAGGTTCAAATTAGGGACGCCTTCATCTTTTTATCAAACAAAAGAAAAAAAAATTGTAGCAAGAGCTTTGGAATGACTGGGACTTGATTCAATTAATTTGTATCTAGGGGATTAATAATCTAATTGATATGAAATCTACTAAGAGGAACAGATCTGCGGTGGCTAAGACTGACTGGGAAATTTAATATGGTAGCTATACCTTAATAGTAATTTTTTTGGAAGAATCTGAATCATTGATGAGGAATATTGATGTGGGTTAATGTGGACCGTCCATAATAATCTGAACGAGGAAAAGCAGTTGAGCGTTGAGGAAGTTTGATTACGTACGGGTGAGCAAAAGCGTAATAAATGAGAAAGTTGCCGTAGCCAACGATTCAATCAAAAGCTTTTGGTTTGGGTGAAATATAGATAGATAGATGCTAGCTTTGAAAAAATGGCTTATAGATTGATTAACCTTCCAATGAAATGGTTTAGATTTCAAACACGAATTCCCTTTAACTAATAAATTCAGTTTTACAAGGAAAAAAAATTGAATTGTCACTGATCTATATATAGTTTATTTGTACACTTAAATAAAAAGATTAAAATAGTTAACACACACATTTGCCATATTAATTCTGTCAATTGAATGATTATATATATATACCAAAATCAAATTTATTTGCGAAATTAAAAAACTCGGTTTCGACGGTAAAACATGCAATTTTGTAAAAAATGTATATACATTTTAAAATATTAAGGCCCGGTAAATGCATGTTTTATTTGGTTCACATAAAGCAATTGAGGGCTGTCTGTCTGATTGCTATAGAAAAACAATTAGAACCACCAAGGTTAATTAATGTCATTGAAAATACAGTGGAATTAATTTTTGTGATACAACAATTTGGGTTTTATCTGTTTTCAAGATCGATAGTTGCGTATACATAGCTATCATCAAGCTATAGGATACCTAACATTAATGAATATTTGAGCGGCTAAGAAAAAGCAAACCCATATTTAGCCTCAATAATCCAATTTATTGGTAGCTATTTTTATCATAAAGAGAAGGATTTTAAAACACTCTTTTTATTAATAAGGAGAAAAGGATTTGAATTGGATCTGTTGAGTTTGAGATATATGTATTTTTCATCAAGTCAAATCGTATTTAATTTTTTGTGAAACAAATTGAAACGTGCAGCATGTTTTACATATAACACGTCTTATTCATTTGGGGTGACATCTGATTCCTTAGGTTTAGCATATACCAACACCTCCATACATTTCTAAAATTGCCTCTGTCCGTTATAATGTATTGCTTCATCCAACCGTATCTTAGTACCAATGTAATAACCAACTAAACTTTAATTTTGCTAATTAAATCATTTAAGGTAAAATTCAATTGATATGATAAAAAATGATATTAGAAAATAAAAACAATAAGATTAAAATTAATATAAATTATATATAAATTTGGTAAAAATAAAAAATATATTTTATGTTTAATATATAAATATTAATTATAATATTATAATTTTTATATTTCATACTATATAAATACATGAATTACTAAATATAACAACAAATGAAATACGAGGATATTTCAACAATAACTTTTTTATGTCTAGGAGAAATTTAAGATTGGGACATGAATTAATCTTGTTTCCGCGTCTTACTGCGGATTCCATGGGAGAAGAAGGAGACCCTTGAATCACTTGCTTTTCTCCCTTGCCTTTGTTTATTTTAGTTTTGTAATTAAATGTACAATAATAGTATTTTCTACATGATCAATTTTCCTTTTTTGTTTTGTTGAATTGCAGACCAGATTTTATGGGAAAGTCTAGATCATGGGCAACAAACCTAAAAGGGCAACTGATTAGCGTACGTTTTGGTCTAAAGAAACTTTTTTTTTCCTTGCTTTTTTAACCGAGGTTTGACTGATTCTTTCCATATGTTATAAATGACGAATTAGAGTAGCTAAGGAGAAAAAGATTTTAAATTTGAGACATCTCAATAAAGATTTCAAATTTGAATCATTTTATTTCTTGTGTATATATAAAAGATTGATTAGGATTACTTTGAATTATGAGGTAAATTTACACATTAGCTTCATAGACTTTGGTTAAATTCTCCCATCAATCACATAGTCAAAGTACCCTAGCAAACTAATTTAATCACAACAAATAATTATAGGACCCATCACTTATATACGTAGGTTTTTCAATAATATTTTGATAGATTTTACATAAATTTAAATTGTAATTAATTAATCGTTATACAATAATTACAATTGATATTTTTTTTAAAATTCAGTTGCCTCTTATTATTATTTATTTTAAATTATCTCAAGATTAATGCACTCACAGCTGTTTAAAAAAATGAAAGCCATATATACGAATGAAATAGAGATAAATAAAAAATTCTATCTCTAAAGGTGTTTTCTTTTATTTGTGTCAATTAAATTGAATTTTTTTATTATTATTTCTTTTTTTGCAAGAAAAAAATCTTCCAAAGGAATCAAAATTTGTTCTCCGTTTCACCTCTTAATTTGGTCACTAGTGCAATAACCGTTTTACATATTTAAGGTATGAAAACCAGACATAATTAGGTGGCTACTGATGAAAAAATAGATGCAAGTTTTTGGAAGGATTAGCTGCTAGTTAGCTTAATGATGATGAGGAATGATGGGATGGAAAGTGACCCAACCAAACATGTCCTTTTTCACTTTAGGCCTGGCCTGCTTCATGCATTTCCATCACTTTAAAGATGGAGGCTTCCTTCCTTCGTCGCCTCACTTCTCCCCTCTTTGATTTATGTTTGAGGTGGAATTTAAATTTTATTTTAAAAACCTTTTTATTTTTTGTTTCAGATGAAATTTAGATTCATGACTCTTAAAAAAAATTAATTTATCACTCATAGTTGAACGGATATAATTTTATCATGATATGAACATATATTTTAACATTATATTGAATGATTAATGTTTGATTATCATGATCAACTTAAGTTATATATAAAACAACAAAATTTTAAGTTTGATTTAAATTAAAAAATAAATGTCAAATCCAATTGTTAAATTTTATTTATTTAATAAAAATTCAAAAAATAAAAAATTTATATATAATTATAATATTTTAATTATATATTTTATTTGAGCTGAATTTATATTTTAATTTTTTTATTTAAATTTTGATTCAAAATTTAATCAAATTTAAAATTATGATCAAATTTATTTAACAAAATTTAATTTTTTTGTTAAATTCTTTCAAAATTTAAACAAATTTTCAAATTGTACAAATAATTTGACTCTTAGATATAATCATAAGGTTGTGGTCAAGAGATATTAACTCGAACACTGTTCTCAACTATGGATAATATAATTAATATATGTAAGAAATTTGTTTTAGAAATATTATTTATGACATTTTGTCAAATGTCAACATACATCATTATCTTCAACTTTACGCCAACGTCGTCGTTTACTTCCTTGATTTGATTAGACCCAGCCTGTCATTCTCATAAAGCCTTAACAAACTGCAATTCCCAATATACCTTTCCTTAAAACCGCAATCAACGGCCAAAACCATAGATAAATCAACCCTAACATGCAAATCCAATCTCATGGTACATGCTGATGTGTCAAAATATTATTGGCCAAAACTCAAAACCCTTAGCCACAAACTCTGAGTCAGCATCCCGACAACCAATAGCAATCAAACACGTCACAAAACTTCAACATTCAACCTCACTGAATCACAAAAGAAGAAAAAGAGAATCAATTTGCCACCTTTTCTCTCTCTTTCACCTAGTGGGACTATGGACACAATCATAACAAACTCGCTCTAGAATTCTTGATTTCTTATAATGTAGTTTTTTGTTTTCTCTCTTTTTCATCTTTAAAGCTAAAATTGCACACCCTTTAAAAAGGAGACCTTTCTTTTTGCTTTACACTCACATTCACATTAATATTTTCACATTATTGTTAACTCTTCTAAGCTTAATTTGTGTGCATATGCAATGGCAGCAGAACCTCAAGACTCCCCCATGGAAGGGGTTCCAGGAACACCCGGGATTCAGGAGGTGAGGCCCAAGTCTGGCTTCGAGAATTTCGAGTTTTGCAACGAGACATGTCTTGTGCCGGACGGGGACTCGAACTTGGGAATAAGAAGGGTGAGTTTGAGGGCTGAGATTGATACCTCACCACCTTTCGGGTCCGTTAAGGAGGCTGTGACCAGGTTTGGTGGCAGCGGTCCTTGGGTGCCATTAAACAAATTTGGGGAGGCATGTGTAAGTATTTTAATTTCTGCTTTTGGTCTGGCTATGATGTAAGAAAGGTATTCTTTATTTTGTTGTGTAGTTTTTCTTAATGGAAAACATGCATGCAGTCCCAAAATATATAGTTTTAATATGTTCTTTTGTAGTTTAATTTATGAAGGAAGAAAAAAACAAAAACAAATCGTGATTTCTTTGTAACTGTGCCACTGACATGGAGTCTTTTTTAAACTTAAAATTTGGTTAAGAGAATTGTGTTTTTACTGTAATTCTGCTCTAGTATTCTTGTCATGATTTCTTATCTTAATTTATTATTTTTTTCATGTTTTTGAATTATGTAACTCTGTTTTATGATAATCCTGAAGGCTGAATCTTGTTGTCTACTTGTTTAGTATATTCTTCCCTCGATTTCATATAATTTTAATTTATATTTTTCTTTCATGTTTTTGTAAATTGTAGATTTTATAGTTGGTTTGGAAATGGCATAGTCGCAGAGATTACTTGAGATGTCAGCTCCTCATAACTTTCGGATTTAGATGCTATAAGAAGCAGGGGAAATCATGAAACTTCGACCTGTTTCATAATCTTAGTTTGCAATTTGCATGTAGCGTTTATTCCTAATTTTGCATATATTTCTTGTTAATGTATTTCTGATGATTAGAGAATTCGTTATGAACAGCATGGAATTGAAGAGTTTGACATAAAAAAAGTGGAGGAACAAGCAGCAGAGCTGGAGAAGGATCTGATTGTGAAAGAATTGGAGACCCTTGACGTGCTTGAAGAACTTGGAACTACAAAAAGGATTGTGGAAGAGTTAAAAAGACAGTTGCAAAATGAAGCTTTGAAATGCATGACCAGTACTCCAGAATTGAATTCAGATGAGCAGATGCCAGCTACAGGTATCAAAGAAATGAACAAGGACCATTATGAACAGATCAGAATTGGGAGTTCAAGCCCGTACTGCCCAGTTTCATCTCCTGATTTGATCTTGATGGAGTTGAAACAAGCAAAATTGAACCTTGGTAAAACTATCAATAATCTTGGGATGATTCAAACTTCTGTTGAGTCTCTAAATAAGAAAATGAAGAAAGAGAAAACTTTACTTGAAAAGACCCGTGAGAGGCTAACTTGTAAGTTTGCAGGGGTGGCATATCTAGAAGAGGAGCTAAAACGAGTGAGGGTGAAGCCACAGATTGCCAACAATGTGGAAGCAAATCATGGAAATTCTGAGAATTCTTCAACCATTTTAAGGCAGCCTTTTCACAACAATTCCATGCCTGAGCAGTTTAAGAAAATGGTTGATCCTGCAAAAACTGAAATTTCAAGAGGATTGCCACTGCCAGGGAATGAACAGAACAAGCCCTGCATAAAAACTGCTGAAATGAGGTGGGTTGCAGCCAAGAAGATGGAGGAAGCAGCCAGAGCAGCAGAGGCTCTTGCTCTTATTGAAATGAATGCCCTTACTGGAATGAAGGGTTTGTCAAGCAATGAGAACTCATCAGATTTTTCCTTGCCAGAGCCGGAGCCATCTCCTCGAACCCCGCAAGCTCAAAGGGCAGAAGAGGTTTCAAACAGGAAAGTAATTCATGCAATGCACAAATTTGCTGAAGCAAGTCTCTCCAAAGTCACAATCCTGAGGAAGTTGGAGGAAGCTTCAGAAGAAGTTAAACGTAGTAAAGAAGTGTTGGAAGAGGCTCTTACTAGATTGGAAATTGCAAATAGAAAGCAACTTGATGCTGAAGAGGTTCTTAGGAGATGGATTCCAGAGCAAGAACAGAAAAAAAGGGTAGTGTGCAATGCCTCCAAGATCAACAATTTCCATCCACCTCATCCTCACCCTCATCATCATCAGCACCAGCATCAGCATCTTCCACGATCACCGCTATATGATCTGATGAACAAGCAAAACCCCACAGTGGATGATGAACCAAAGCCTGTTCTAAGGCCAACAGTGTCAATGAGGGATATCTTGAGCAGCAAACAAGTTTCTCCTGGAGAATGTGTTGTAAGAAGGCCTAATGAAGGCCATAGTACTGAAAGGCAAAAGGTAGCTTTGAGCCAAATGCTTCATGAACTAAGGGAAGATCTGACATTTCCACCAAAACCTGATCAAGAAGATCGTGGAGATGATCCAAAGCAGTATTTCACGCAGAGGAGAAAGTTTGGGTTCATCCAAATATCTCTTCCATTAGCAAGGCAAAGCAAGAAGAAACCACAAACTTTAAACAATGTGATCCAATAGGATAAATAGTTATCTTTGGTTATAAACTAACATTTTCTATTCAGTTTGCTTCATTTGTTTGTGTCGTTTTTGGGTGATTAATTTTTATGTTGTTGGCATCTTTGAATTTATTTGTTTTGAAATCTATCTCTGCTGTAAAGGTGTTTCTATAATTTGTATTCATGTATTCTGCAATCAGCCCTGAAATACTGATGGGGTAGAATCTCATGTTATCTCTATCAAAGGCATTGAAAATGGTGATGAATTCTTTTACTTGGCAGTATTTTCAATTTCGTTCCTCTAATTATTTTTTCAAGAATAAGTTTCAAATCTATCACTTTATTTAGGATGACTGACCAACTTTATAATCCAACTTTAAAATGGATTTGTTCAAAACGGTCAAGAGTTAATGGTTACTATTTTTTTAACCAAATAAAAAATATAATGTTAAAATTACACCTATCCGGAGATTATGATATATTTGATTTATTTTTAGATTAGTAGTGTTAAAATTACACCTATCTAAAGATGGATGACGAATTAATTTATCTTTTTGAATTATTTTAGATTTGGATTGGCTGCGCTTAGATTATTGTTTTTTTTTTTTTATTAAATTCAATTACATCGCCTTTAAACAAATCAAATAATTTTTCAAATTCTAGTCAACTTTATTTAACTCACTCTTAATTATAAAAACCAACTAGAATTTGACATGTTAAATGTATCCTATATTAGTTTAGTCATTTAACAATGACCATATTTTCATTTTATTATTGAGCCTGAAGTGACAAACACGATAATATAGAAGTAATATATTACAATAAATTTACAACAAACAAACAATAATCAATAATAAAAAATGCAAAAAAAATAAAGTATACTAAAATTTATATGAAAAATCTTTCAATATAGAAGAAAAAAAAATCACGACTACCAAAAAAATCTTTACAATCAAATAATAAATATATAAAGTTCTGCTATAACTAAAACTAGAGCTAAAAAACAATTAGATAGATAATTAAAGAAATTTTATTAAATAGGTAACTCAGCAAATACAATTTGTATTCGTTCTTAAAGAGTTTTAAACCCAATTTCCACCATTTAAAATATAAAAAACTAAGTCGTGAACGTGCTGACAAAATTTCAACTCAATCTAATCACAAATCAACCTTCGTTCAACTCATCGTTCAAACTTGTAACTCTCTCTTCTAATTTTCCCTTTTCTCTCTTTCTCTTTTAGTTTCTCTTTTTCTCTTGGTTTTCGTACCATTCAACCTTTTCTCATGCCATTTAATAATAGCCCCACTTTTTCATTAAATGTAAAGCTTGTAGGGTTGCATAAAACAAAAGGCCTATGGCCTTTAATTGGTCCAAAGGAATGAGGTTGGACCTCACGTTCTTAACAATCTTCCCTTCTAGCCCTATTAGGAGGAGATTTATTACCTTAATAGTTTCATTTAGAACTTATCTTGGCCAAATAATCCATTCTGGCCAAGTTACTATATAGCTTAAGCTTTTTCCTAAAAAATGTCTTAGTCAACATATTTATTGCACTCTAATTAGTACGGACTTTTTCTCAACTACATCTGCTACTTTTCAATCACCGAACATAACTAATGACATCTAACATCAATGTGTTTTGTTCTAGCATGGTACATGGTATTCTTACTCAAATCTAAAACACTCTGGATATCACAAAATACCACATACTCTTTCTTATTCAACCCCAATTTAAGAAGAAAATATTTCATCCAAAGCATTTCTTTACTTGCTTCGATTGCTGCAATATATTCAATATTTGTAGTTGATAAGGCAATGCACATCTATAATTTAGACTACCAAGACACAGTTCTTCCTACAAAAGTAAACAAATATCCTAAAATAGATTTTCTACCATCAAGATTATGTTAGCATTAATAAACCTTTCTAGAATTAGTTGTGTAGTTCTATAACTCAGGTATATTTTTAAAATACCCTTCAAATATTTGAAGATCCATTTCATCATTTCCTAGTGAATTTTTTTCGGATTAGAAAGAAATCTCCTCACTATACCAATTATATGAGCAATTTTAGGTCATGTGCAAACCATAAGATACATTAAATAACCAACAAAAAAATAATAAATACTAGATATAGCTAGTTACTCTTTCTTAGTCATCAAAAAAGATTTTTTACTCAGATGAAAATGATTGGCAAATAGAGTCTAACTAATTTAGTATTCTGGATGTTGAATTTAATAAGGACCCGTTTAACATACTTTTCTGGTGACAACCATAGCTTTCCAGCTTTTCTATCCCAGATAATATCCATAACAAGAATCTGCTTTATTGGACCTAAATCTTTTATGTCAAAAGACTTAGACAGTTATTCTTTCAACTTACAAACAATACCAGCATCTTATCTCACAATCAACATATCATCAATATATAATAAAAAAATAATAAAGTTACCATTAGAGAATTTTTTGACTTACACATAAGGTTTCGTTTTCATTTTTTAATAAGTATGACTTATTATAAAAGAATTAAACTTTTTACACCACTGCCACGAAGCTTGTTTCAAGCCATACAAGCTTTTTTTTCAATTTGCAAACTAAGTGCTCTTTCTTTTTCACTTAAAAACCCTTAGGTTGATTTATATAAATCACCTCTTGCAAACCACTATGCAAGAATGCAATATTGACATAAAATTGTTTAAACTCAAGATTCAAACTAGCTATTAATCCAAATGCCATTCAAATGGAACTCATTTTTACAACTAAAGAAAAGATCTCATCAAAATTGATGTTGAGTTCTTGAGAAAAATCTTTCACCACCAATTGAGCTTTGTACTTCACTAATTTATCACTATCTTTTTTTATATTGAACACCCATTTATTCTTTAATAGCCTTCTCATTTTTTAAAGTTTAGCAAGATTATATGTACCATATTTTATAATGTAATCATTTTTTTCATTACTTTTAACCAATGCTCTCTATCTGGAGTAGTTTATACATCTTAAAAGCTTTTTGGCTCCCTTTCATTGGTAATAAAAATAAGATTTGAACTTAAAAACCTGGTGGATGGTTGATGCTTTTTGTTAGATTTTTTAAATTTGAGATTATACATTACTTGATGCTGAAAGTAGCTCCTCTTAGCTAATACTTTTTGGTAGAGAGGATGGCTTACCCTGTTCAACATTTTTGATGGAGAAAACTATTTTTCATTTTTAAAACTAATTGTATTTAGCTCATCATTAATTTTGGCTAGCTCATTCATATCGCTAAGTTTTATCTTTTGCTCATTTTCTCTATCTATGGCTTTTCTAGGTGAAACACTTATTGGTGTTGTAATATTACACTTAAAAGTAATTTATGTAGTTTTCACACTCTTCTTAAGGCGTGCTATAGTTCCTTTTTTTATGGAAGACCACATTTCTTATTATCTTTTTTTTCATTAGATCCCATAACCTGTAGTCAAATTTTTTATCATAATATATGACAAATATACACTATGTGGCTTTATTGTTAAGCTTTGACTATTGATTTTTTGACACATGTATAAATGCTTTACACTTGAAAATCTTTAAGTGAAAGTATGAAGCATCTTTTCCTGTCCATACTCTTTTTAGAATGTTAAAGCCCAAAGAAATTAATGGTGATCTATTAATCAAATAGTAAGCTATGTTGACTACTTCACCCTAAAATGGCTTTAGTAATTTTGGGATCCTTAGCATACATCTGACTTTTTTCACAATTGTGAGGTTCATTCTTTTAGCTACATTATTATGCAATGGTGTTCTAGGTTTTATCATCTCATACTTGATTTTATGCTTTGAACAATATTATTCAAAGTTTTTGAATGTGTATTCTCCATCATTATTAGTCTGAATATACTTCAAAGTTAACCCTATCATTCTTTCCACTATGGCATGGAATTTTTGAAAATGCTACAGCATTTGACTTTTATTTTTCAGCATAACAACTAAGTCTTATATGAAGCATCATTAATAAAAGTAACAAAATACCTGTTACCACTTAGTGACTCAACCTAAATAGAACCACATATATCAAAATGAATCAATTCTAATCTATTATTTCCTTTGAGAACTTTTACGAAAAGAAATTTTACGATATTTGTCATGCAAACAACGATCACATTAATTGAGAAACATATCTTTGGTCAAATAAATAAAGGACTGCCATACCAAAATTTGTAACACTTTCTTGCTCATGTGTGCCAACCTTTTGTGCCACAGATTTGCTGAAGTATTATCCTCAATGGCATTATCTAATTGCCATTCAATTGCATTTATGTTTTATACATTATGCAGTATAATTTTTCTCATATAACTATCATAAATCCTTTAATAAATTTTCACTGCTCATTTTTTTGCTAACTCTCATATCCTTCCTTATCAAAGACATTAATCATAATAAGTTTGTTCTAATATTCAAAATGTGTTTGATATCCCTCAAAGTTAACATATAGCCCGCATTAGTTTATACAATAATATCATCAATCTCAACAATTTGCGATACACTTTTATTTTCCATCTTGGTGTAACAAAGTCTCTTCTTTTGTAAGTTTTAAACAACTTCTTCTTAGAAACATAATGATATGCTGTTACTATGTCAATTATCCATTCAATGCTGGTTTTACCAATACGATTACAATCATCATGTGTACAAATTAAAGTAATTGAACTATTATTATCTAAATCCACTGCTATAATATTGTTATCATCTAAACTCTTTCTTTTCTCATTTTTCTGCTCTTACTTCAAGATTTTTGCATTTTCATTTTATGTGATTAGGTTTACCACAATGGTAACACTTTATTTTATTTCTAGACTTTAATCTATATTTGTACTTGCTACGGCTTTTCGAATTCTATCCTTTGTCAACAATTCTACCCCTATTCTCTATATTTGAATCTTTTTGCCTTGCTTTTTAATTAAACATATTGCCTTTACTATCTCCAATATCACATTGTAGTCAAGAGCTAAATTAAGAACAGTCACAACTACAGTAATCCAACTATCTGACAATAAACCCAAAAGAAAAAAAGTTTTTATTTCATTATCTATTTTAAGCTCCATAGTAGTTTTTTGATTAAATATATCTTAAAAATCACTCAAGTACTTTGTAATCGATTGTCCATCATTGTAGTGTAAAGTTACAAGCTTTTTAACAAGCATAACTTTATTCATGCTTGTCATTTTCTAATACAATGTTACTAATTTTTCCTAAACAGTGTATGCATTTATCTTCTACGCTACATGATGAAATATGCT